GGCCATCTCACACTGTCACTACCAAACTTCAACTGAAAACAAAATAAAAAGGTACACATGTGATCTGTAAACTAACCAAGGCTCTGCAGGCCACCAGTGGTTCATGGACCACAGTTTCATAACTGTTGCCATTGGCCAACCTCCTTTTATTACTGTTAAATATATATATTGCTGCTTTTAAATTTTATATAAGTCTGATCTGCAAGGTTGAAGATTTAGGACAAAGGGATTAGGGAAAACTGGGTGAAAAAACTTTTAATAGACACTTGTGACGCTCTGTCCTGACCAGCCTTATGTTTAGAACAATTTTTTTTTTTAGTGGGGCCAATTTTTTACCCTTCCCCCATTTAATGTTAATTGCCCTTATTTTACCAACTGAATTTACCACTTTTTCTAATCGTTCAAAAATGTTATGAACCAGAATAGAAGCCCCTTTTTCATTATACATATTGGGCACAGAGCTGTACTTACAGGGATCTTGGCAATCAGCTTCCATCTTTCTCACTAGCAGCTGCTTCCTCTTCTGGTGCACTGCAACAAGGAAATAATATTCAAGCTCTGTGGTAAATTCCACAGCCTCTCAGAGTGCCTTTGGCTTCCTGTAACTCATCTTGATCTGCAAGTCCAAGCCCACCTGAGTAATTAAAAATTAGCACATTGTCATTTTCCCTGGAAGCCCTCATTGGTATTTGAGTAGAACAGGATCAAAACTCGGCAGGTCCTGTGGCAGCTGAAGTATAAACTCTTCTTTCTTCTAGCCATGCCCTTGGCCAGTTCAGATTGATGGTTGGCTCCAAACTGCATATCAAGGGTGTGTAATAGATCCAGGTTACATTTCTTTTCTTGAGGGCAAATTCTCCATCACCAAAACAGACCTCAAGTTGGTTGCTAGGAACTCCCCCCACCCCTTTTTTTCCTGTCTTCTTCACAGCTATTCAACTTGACTTTGTTGTTGAACTAAGCCAAACAGGCTTTCCAAGGAATTTTTCTAAGACATAATGGGTTCTTATATTACCTGAGTTGGAACAATATAACTGCTGCCCTAAAGCAAGAAAGTAAATTTTCTGGCTGATCTTATTCTTCATCCAGATTGACTGATTATCAAGGAAGTCTGAAATGCTTTGATTTCCTTCCAGAGCTGATTATGAGCTCCTTAAGACCTTGCTGCAACTCATTTCTGTTATTGGGTTCTGTGTTGGTCAACTGCACCTCTTTATGCGAGATGTTGTCCATGGTAGTCAGATTGCTGGTTACTTCATAAATCTCTCTTTCCATACCAGATGGGAAGTGATCCACTTGGCCTTTCCAATCCATCCAAATACTTTAAAACTACTGTTTTAACAGAGATTACATCTTTGATTTCATGTTATCGTTCAGTCCTATTTGGGAAGCTTCCTTATGTTGCTTTAATTCCTTTTTGAAAAGGTCTGCAGCTCTTGCCTTAGGTCTTCATTTAATTTTTCCTGAACATTTCCGATTTCTGCATATAATGCCATCATTTGGTTCATTATGGATTAAAAGGAGTACCAGCTCAGACACACACTCTTCTCTGACCACAAAATTAACCAAACTGCAGGTGTTACAGGTTGCTTCCATTAGAAGGAGAAATTGTAAAGAGAAAAGACTGCAAAGAAACACTATTAAAAGAACACACAAACTTCTGTTTCCCAAGCATACCAGGAATCAAACAAACACAAAACAATTTTGTTCATAGTTCTTTCAAGCTTGCACTTCCAAGCCTCTTTCAAGCATGCACTTTGCCCAAAAGCAGACTTTCAGCTTTCACTCATGACCATGCTACTAATGCATGTCTGATGCTTTCTTGCTGCCTTCTCTTCCTTTTTTTTTTTTTTTTTTTTTTATTGCCTTTCAGGCACACGCAAACTTAATTAAAAATGCAGTAGCCAGCACAAGTCCTCCACCCACATGTTGCTTGTCACGCACCTTTCTTTGGGCCATGACATGTGCCTGTTTTGACAGTAGGTGCTACTATTGTTTCACCACCTGGTAAGAAAGAAACTTAAAACTGTTTTTTAAACCTAAGGAGTGATACTTATGACTAATACATAACATCATTTTCTTCTGATAACATGAACTCTCGTCTTTAAGGAAATAAATATGCACTCTCCTAGGAAAGTCATGATGGATACTCTAAGTCATTAAGCCTTTTCAGTTGGAAATTTAAAGAATTCTCCCTCCATTGTAGAACTTAGTATTAACATATATAAAGCCAACTTCCCAAAGTACTGAAGTAATTAACTATGCAGAAATATATTTTAAAGGAACAAAAAGATTTTTGGAAGTCATCAGGGTAGCTTAGTTTTGATATTGCATAATTATAGATAAACCTTGTAGAACAGGCAAAAAATTATCTATTGCACAAGCTTGGTACCTGGTTATTAACACTTCTTGACAAACAAACATTGGTAAGTCTCTAGTATTGTCTTTATGAGCAGAGAGTCAATAAGTACCAAAGGATACAGTGAAAATGTAATCTCTCTGATACCAATGTTGTCTCTCTCAGCAAACAGTGACTTTTTAAAAAAAGAAATATCCTACCAGTCAAAAAGTATTTCTGAAACGAACTGGTGACAATTCCGACTGAAAAAAGTATCAGAGGCAACACACATGACAAAATAAATAAAACTTAAGGTATTAAAAAATAAATATCAACTCAGGCTGAAAACTCTACAAGTTTTCTGTGCCAGTTTTAAATTCAAAAGTGAATTTTTTTAAAAATCCACACAAACAACTTAGTTTTAGAAATGTACCAGAAGCCTGAAATCAGGTCTCAACTTATGGATATGTGCATGATAAAACTTACCAGCTCTCAGGGTACCACCCTCAAAGAGACTGCTCCTCTGGGCTGCCCCCTAGACTAGAAGCATTATAACAACCCAATACAACACTTGTGCAGGCTTAATTAGCACTCCCCAGTGAGTGGCAGTTACCTTGTCCCCAAACTAAATCACATGTGAACAATGCCTGTAGTTTAGGAGGCAGCCTAGCGGAAGCAGCACAGCGTGTCCAAGACTATATCTTTACTATGGACATAGCCTGATCCCATTTTTATAGCTTTCACATTTAAAAGTCTGTTTTACTGAAAGTTAATGAGATGTGTGATATAAATGCCTGTCACTGGGCAAAACATAACCTATCGTTTCATGAGTCAGTAGTACTAGACAAATTAGGCAAGTAAACATTTATTTCTTCAAACAATTTTCACAAACATTCTTACCGTAGGGAGCCCTTCCAGCTAAAGGATTTATTAATGGAGTTGGGTTGCCACTTCCTTCCCTTCTGTTTCTGTCGGCTAGTGCTGGAAAATCTGAAAGGTCCAGTCCTGTCACATTTTCACTTCCATCTAAGACAAAAAACAAACATTTTAAGTAGCTTTGAATTTTTAGCTCAAAACATCTGTAGTGTGGAGGTGGTGTTGTTGGTTACCATGATATACCTGGAAATATACAAGAGGCAAGAATTCTTGTCTATGATATCTTTGACTGGACCAATTGTATGGCTTGGATAGACACAGGATACTCCAGTAGCTACACCTAAGTCTATCTGAACCATAAAACTGGTCCAATAATAGGCATTACCCATAAGAATTCTTAACAAAAAATTGTAATATATGAAACAAAGCTTTTCCAGAGTCAATGGGCACATCTACACGAGACGATTAATGCTCAGTAGAATTAGTCTACTGCAGGTTTGTGTCATGGCAAAAGTGGTGCTATTGCGCTAATGTATGGTAGAATTAGCCTACTTTGCACTGGCATCACTTAAAAGCTATGTGCTGGTGCTACAGTAGCACCAAGTTACTGTGCATTTAGTACCTGTTATTACAGGTACTAAACTTAATTCGCAGTAATCGCAGTGCATTAATGCACATGTAGACATGCCCAACGACGACTAAATTAGATCAATTCTAACAAAATAGTTTTGTTAAGATTTCCAATAAAACTGGAAGCCATAAAAGTAACATCTTGAGTGCCACAGCATTAGTTACAGATGATGTTCTGAGAAAATAAAATCCCACAACATTCATTAAAAAGAAAAAAAAAAGAAAAAGAATAAAAAAAGAGTATACTTGGTTCTCTTCACGTTACTATTAGAATTATAGACACATTTTAAAATTAACCTCTAGATAATGAAACTAGGCTTTGGTGTATTTTTAAATGAATAATATTGAAGTAGCAAATAATTACGTTTTCCAAGAGTCTGGTAACTCGTGAATCACATGTATAAACACACCCAAATTACATTAAAAAGGAGTCAGTTCTGATAATAGCTAGAAAAAGAAAGGCTTGAAGAGGAGTAATAGTAATCAAGAACAGCTCTTATCCCTTCAAGCTTTAAATAAGGCAGGAACTAAAGAACTACAGAGGAAATAACAGAATGGAAGTTGATGTAGGAAATGGATTCCAGTTCACGGCAATGTACAAGATGAAAAATGTATAAACAGTTTTGAGGTCCATAATGCCATCACAGGGCTCCCGTGACTACACAAGCTACCCTATTGGCCATTACTTCAGAGCTTTATGACATCACCAAATGCCATTAGACACAATTACTGTCCAGTCGCCCTGTACAAAAAAGAGAGAGATGTACATAATAAACATGTACTTAAAACAAAAAGCCTTTCCCTAAAGAATGTATGCATCTTTGCTTAATGCAAATTAAGAGATTAGCATTCCTAAGAAAATAGGAACTACCAATTTAAAAGCATTATTTAAAAAATGTCTGTTCAAGAAGAATTTCTAACAAATGATTAAAAAAATTCAGTCACTAATATTCTCATTGAAACTTGATGAATTATTTTTCTTGCTAATTAATTATTTTTCTGCAACATCTTCCTTCTTTTTGTTCCTGGCCCCATGAACTACTTTTAACTTTGAAACTGACTGGTTATGTGTATGTGAATAAATAAAATTTAAAAAATCCATTCAAAACAGACTATTTTCAGTGCTTTATTTTCTTACAAGCAGCAAAAAATGTTACGACATACCAGCATAATTTCAAAACCATGGTCTTTGAGTAACTTTAAACTGTCAAAGTAAGTTTAATCTTTTAAAATTATTACATGTAAAAGATAATTATTTGCCATATAGTAATGTCAGTTTCAGTTTGTGTGTATATTGTTAAGCAACGTGAACAACCCTGTATAACAAAGCCACTACACAAAACTTTAAAATTAGAATGAAAAAACATGGTCAGACAGCAAAATATTTAACAACCGTGTCTTATCCAGATTGTACTTTATACTTTAAATAAGTAAAGTATACTTACCTGTTCCATTAAAAATGTTACTTGATAAGGAGTTACTCATTCCAAATGCCTGATTCCTGTTCATTCCAAATCCAGACATACTGTATGAAATAATAACAAAACACACAAAATTAAAAAAAAAAAACAACAACAACAAAAAACACAAGCATGACTGAATAGACTGAGTCAGAGGAAAAGAGAAGTTAAAAAGGAAAATTAAGACACTCATCCAAGACATCTCTTGAATTACTCCAAGGAAAATCCTATAAATCCTGTTTTCACTGGCGTCTTTCACACCTGTCATATTTATAAATGAGCCTTGTTTAAGGTACTATATTTCACAGTATACAAGTCAAGTTTTGAAGACAAATTTCTTAAAATTCAACCTCAACTTATACACCGTCCCACGCCTTGGTGTGCAAGGCACTGGAAGCCCAGGGGGCTCGTGGAAGAGGTGGCATGCTGGCGGGATCCCAGGAAGTTGGACTGGGCCCTGGAAGCTTGGGCAGCACATGGCCCACTGGCAGCGCACCCACCTAGCCCCTGGGAGTGCTGCCGCCATGAAGGCAAGGACTGGGCCCCCTCCCACATCTGCCCAACACCTCATGCTGCCCCTGGGGCAAGCCAGCCCCTTCCCGGGGAGCACCAGGTATCTTGCTGGCCACAACAGCCTGCTGAAGACACAAGCAGCAAGGGGCCTGATCCAGCTTTCAGTGGAGCCTCCCCACCTTCCCTGTGGCTGGGGTGGGGGGGGCTGCTAACAGGTCAGGCATCCCCTGAGCTGCAGTGGGGAGGCAGTCTTTCCCTCCACAGCAGCAGCCCCCTCCCAGGAGTGGTTGGGTGGGCTGCTAGTGGGTCATATGCTGCCTGAGTTCCCAGGGCCCCGATCCAACTTCCCAGGAGCCCACCAGCACACCACCTCTCCCACGAGCCCACCTATGATTCCAGAGCCTCACACGTGGAGGCAGAGTCAACTTATACACCGGACCAAAAAAGTTAGGATTTTTGTAACAGAAATATGGGGTCGACTTATACAATGGGTCAGCTTATTTTTAACATGTACCATTTTTATGGCATATAAAACGGACTAAGAAAAATTCTGTATCTAGGAATACAGTGGTAGGAATTAGCACCGCATAAATCAAATTATATGAATAAATAAAATCTTAACTCCAGAATGTTTCATCTAACATAGCATTTTAAAACAAATCTACAAAGGTACCCTAAAAAAAAGTTCACATTTACTGCAGAGAGAGAGAGAGAGAGAGAGACACAGAGCGCGTGCGTGCGTGCGCACACACACACACACACACACACACACACACACAGAGTATACATATACATATAGAATAATATATATAAAGAACACATGTATGTGGTCTAAGAAGTGACCAAGGTTATTAGGATTGAATCACGATATGAAAGCTGAAGTTGCAACGGATAACTTAGTACTTAGCTGTAGCTGTGATGGCCCAGAAAGTGTCAAGAGGTAAGATTTTCTGTGGATTATCTTTTACTGAATAAGATGGACAAGGGAGAAGAGATTGATGTCATATATCTTGACTTCAAAAAAGCCTTCGATCTGGTGTCCCATGATCGCCTCTTGGAGAAACTGGCCAATTGTCGCCTTGGGTCCTCCACGATCCGCTGGCTGGAAAATTGGCTCCGGGGTCGGACCCAGAGGGTAGTAATCGATGGAAGTCACTCATCGTGGTGTCCTGTGACCAGTGGGGTCCCCCAAGGCTCTGTCCTTGGACCCATACTGTTCAACATCTTCATTAATGATGTGGACACTGGAGTCAGAAGCGGACTGGCCAAGTTTGCCGATGACACCAAACTTTGGGGCAAAGCATCCACACCAGAGGACAGGCAGGTTATCCAGGCTGACCTGGACAGGCTCAGCAAGTGGGCGGACGAGAATCTGATGGTGTTCAACGCCGATAAATGCAAGGTTCTCCACCTTGGGGGAAAAAACCCGCAGCATCCTTATAGGCTCGGCAGTGCTATGTTGGCTAGCACTATGGAAGAAAGAGACTTGGGGGTCATCATTGACCACAAGATGAACATGAGCCTGCAATGCGATGCGGCGGCTAGTAAAGCGACCAAAACGCTGGCTTGCATCCATAGATGCTTCTCAAGCAAATCCCGGGACGTCATTCTCCCCCTGTACTCGGCCTTAGTGAGGCCGCAGCTGGAGTACTGTGTCCAGTTTTGGGCTCCACAATTCAAAAAGGATGTGGAGAAGCTTGAGAGAGTCCAGAGAAGAGCCACGCGCATGATCAGAGGTCAGGGAAGCAGACCCTACGATGACAGGCTGAGAGCCCTGGGGCTCTTTAGCCTGAAAAAGCGCAGGCTCAGGGGTGATCTGATGGCCACCTACAAGTTTATCAGGGGTGACCACCAGCATCTGGGGGAACGTTTGTTCACCAGAGCGCCCCAAGGGATGACGAGGTCGAATGGTCACAAACTACTTCAAGACCGTTTCAGGCTGGACATAAGGAAGAACTTCTTTACTGTCCGAGCCCCCAAGGTCTGGAACAGCCTGCCACCGGAGGTGGTTCAAGCGCCTTCATTGAACACCTTCAAGATGAAACTGGATGCTTATCTTGCTGGGATCCTATGACCCCAGCTGACTTCCTGCCCTTTGGGCGGGGGGCTGGACTCGATCTTCCGAGGTCCCTTCCAGCCCTGATGTCTATGAATGAAATCTATAGCTGGAAGAGCTGTCAGACAAGGTTTTGGGAACAGGGCGCCCTTCCTCACGTATCACAATGAGATAACATTTCTTGTGAGAAATACGCCCCCACAGAAAGCCACTCTCTCTCCAATCTCTCAGTTCTAATCCTCAAAGGAAATTTACAAAATACCTTTCATAGGTGAGCCTATGAACTCCACTTCATCAATCTACTGGATACAAAAAAGCATTGACCAAATATAGACATTGGATTTATGACACATTATGAACTTGCCTAACATCTGACTTCCCAGGCAAACCCTCCACTTTTTATCAACTATTTTCATTCCCTTCCCCACCCCCCACCCCTGTCTCCCATCCTTTGACTACAACTACATTTATTCCCCTTTCCCCCACTCCAACAGTCTCTTACCTAGTGACCACTCGATTTACATTTTAACTGACTGGCTTTCTTGCACACATATTGACCTCTGGCCGCTTTACTACTCCATCCAGGAAGAGCACAGACCACCTGCAGATGCTTCCTCAGCCTGACAAAGGGTGTTTGTGCCTGAAAGCTTGCTAAGAAGAATTTTTCCAACTACTTGAGTTGGTCTAATAAAAGATATCGGATTTACCCAAATTCTAGACTACTTTAAGCGATTAACAATTAAATAACTGTCAAAGGCAACTATAACATTTTCATAAAGGTTTAACTTTTGCATAACAGTACTGAAATATTGGCAAACTTGGTGTTTCATTGTTCTGCAAATGCCACTAATGTATGCATAAATAGCGGCCTTTAAAATCAGTTGAAAAACAGCCCACATTAATTCAATGAAAACAGCAACCTGAGTTCCAATGGAGCTTCCTTCTCAACTAACTAGAATCAATAAAAAAGACAACTAACATAGAATCAATAAAAATCAATAAAAAAGACAAATAGCTCAAAAGGAACTGCAGACTAAGATAGCCTCATCTCTGAATTACTGCCAAAAGTTAGTGTTTACTTAAACAAGTACTCAATGTCTACATTTGCAAGATCAAAATCTTTCTTCTCATTTGAAAGCATACTGCCTCTCTTAGCCTTTCTATTGTAGCACACCTATATAGATGCAAATGCTTGCTTATGAAACTTCCAAGTTAAAAGCTAAAAAAAAAAAACCAAAACAAAAAAACCCACATCAACATTAACTGTTGATGTACATAACAGACAATGGGATTAAACAGTTCACAGAGCATAGAGAGGATACAATGAGCCCTCTTGCTTAAAGATGGCAAGGACAAACAACTACCTCAGCCTACCTCAACCAGGGGAAGTGGAAAGGGGAGAGGGTTTGCACACGTTAAAATCACAGAGTGCCCGTACACGAGCACAGAGGCTGCTCCAGTGCGTTACAGCACGCCAGAGCAGCCTTGATTTATCTTCATATGATACTGGATACTTGATTTATCGAGTCTGCTGGAGTGTTAATTACCATGCTCCAGCCAGCCTCTGCATCTCGCGTATCAGTGTCCCTGCACTTCAAGATAGCAGCTGGGGCACTTGAACTAAAGCTCGCTGAATGACCTTTAGTTCAAACACCCCTACCACCATTTTGAAGTGTAGGGACGCTGATACGCGAGACAGTGAGGTGCTTAAATTAGGGCAGCTCTTGGAGCCAACCTAATTAAAGTGCTGCCCCTCCCACCCCAGGAGCACATGTAAAAATACCCTCAGATACAAAAGAAATTATTCCCATTGTTCTGTCTCTCTCTCACTATTTTCATATGATACTGGATTGGGTTGGAGAAGCCATTTGACTGACAAATTTAAGAACTTGTAGCCAGTACAGAAATGGGTCTTTAGACAAGATCTAAACAAAGGAAAAGTTAGAACTGGGATACAGTGACACATGGTAAATCAGTTGCAATGGTTCTTTTAAAACTGTTTATGTAAACAGTTAATAAGCTTACACCGATTCATTTTTGTAAATCCAATACAAGGCAAGATAAGCAATCAATAATTTCAAGGCCTGTGCTACAGAGTCAGAAAAAGAACAAAGTTGTTGAGATTACCACACCAACATAGTCTTACATAGGTGAGAAATACTGGAGGGCAAAACTCTCTGTTCTCCAAATGGCTCCAGGGCTGCAGCATGGAGATGCAGGACTCCCAACATATCAGAGTTTGCTGAGCCAAATCCCAATGAACAATTTTTTAAATTAAGTTTTGCCTTATTTGCACTCTCCACTTTAGCCTGGAAGACCCTAAAAACCTATGCACATTTCAAAACATGTGTACACCTCTTCACTGTGCCAGACCCCACCACCATGACAACAAGTAGTTCCCAGGCACTCTGAGCACGTACCAATAAACACATACCCAAGACAAGTGGTGTACGCGGACTCAGTACTGTTCTACAGTGGCTACCCATTGGTTTCTGTCCAGGATATGGACAGGAACAAAACAAGAGCAAGTATAAAACATAGCCCTCACCCACCAGCAATATGAGATACTGCAAAGAGACAATGCAGACATGCTCTTGGCTTCTCAGCAGCAAGAGCTGGACATTTCAAACTATATTTTAATTTCAGGACTACTGTTAAATATATCTATAGCTGCATGCATTCTAACCAAGTCTTACCTGTTCACAGTAAAAGGTTGTCGAGAGGGTTGTTGCTTTGGCATACATATTATGCTAGGAGAGCTTCTGTTGGGGCTGCCTAACCCTGAACTGCTCATGCTGTTTGTTCTGCTGGGAATTCCAATGCCCTGACCAACCTGGGAGTGGTTCATCATATTCCTAGGATTCATAGGCAATATACCCCTGAAAAAGACAAAGCATCCAAAAAAGATTAATTTCTAATGTTTCATTATTTGCTTCAGATTCATTTTCCAATTTAAGAAGATTTTCTAATCTATGACAAGCTAGATTTGTGGTAAATGTCAATACAGCATAACATGTAGATAATGCTCAAGCAGCAGAATATTATTTAAGGGTTCCTGAGAAATTCCACATGACCTATCATATACTAAGCAAATCCTTAGTCAAACTTGGTATAGAACACCAAAAATATTTAAAGTGAAATTAAAAAACAAAACAAAAACAAAAAAAGTCTTAATGGGTTAAAAACATTCAAGTTTCTTAATATACCAAGCTTGTAGTAATACTTCTGTCCTACCATCTTTATTGCCGGAATAGTTTATTACATGCATATATTTTTACCCATGCATTTTACTACAGCATTCTTGCACTCTGTAGCAAAATCTGCCAGTGAACACTATCTTTACACACACGGACAGGTACTGTATTGCGAATATCCTCCCAAATACAGGCGGTGTTCAACAAAATGAAGTATTTTCTTTTTTAAATTGAATTAGAATGTAAGCTAGTTAAGGTGAAACACACACCACACTTAAAAACTTCTCTGCAGAAACACAATTGTAGAAATAGGAGCTACCAATAAATACCTGCTCGGAGATGGAGGCGTATGAAGTGACATTGTTGGTACCCCTGTTGTTGGCGTTACGTGGCTCGGTAACTGAGTGCCTTGTGATAAGCTGCGATTTAACTGAGGGGTATTGTTGCTCATTCCCCTCATTGGAAGGCCTAGTGCACCTATTGAAAAAAAAATTCAGAGGGATGGAAATATATTGCAATCAGGAACAACGTTTTATCTAAATGGTAGCTTAAATCGAATCTATTTGACAATCTAAAAAAAAAAGGTAAAGACTGCAGTAAAACGCAGTATAAAAATTCAGTACTTGCTTACACGTTTTAAATCATTTCAATTCTGCTCTGCCTTCTAATTTGCAGAATTTTTTTTTCTATTTGAGAGCCATTTGCATTTGATACGCTATCAAAACTGCACTTCCATTAGGACTTACATTTTACAGCAAGTGCTATAGGTTGGATTTTATATAGTAATTTGAGACTTCTGTTTACAATGTTTATCAGAAGAATAAAGTAGTGAAAAATAACTTTAAAACTTAAAAGAATACTATAAAGTGTGCCAACTTTCACTCTTAAAACAACATTGAATGTGATAAGCTAGACTGTATTCTCTGAAGCGTTTCAAACTTGTTTTAAATAGGACTTGTTGATCATATTTTCCTGTTAAAAAGCTAACAAAATATATTTTGATTTTATAGGCTACATATTGTAAATTTAAAAAATAAAGTTGGAGTACATTTAAACCCATATAAAAACCTCAAACAACAGCTATAATTTCAGACGAGTTCTTTTAAAGAACTCTACTGGAAATTCACACGAATTGTTTTAGCGTATATAGACAGACACTTGGCCTCGCTTAAACACCACTGCATCTCATTAAAAACAACAAAAACTTCTTTAATAAAAAGCAGAATCCATTAATTTTGTTTTCAATAATGTTTCCAA